TCAATTAGTAACCCCTCTATTGATTGTAATCGATTAAAATTCATCGATACTAATCGATTAATTTGATTATAATCATTATATATTCTCTCAAAAAATTTTCTGATATTGCCAAAGAGTAAAAAAAAATATGATTATCTCTTAAACTATTTATTCTGCAAATTTGCTTTAAAACTTTTTTAAAAATTATTTTTAAAATAAATATAAAAAGTTTATCAAAAATTGTAAATTATTTTTTAATTGGCAATTCACTAGTTAACCAGAGAGAGGTTATAGTATAATATGATACACTTTATATATAAAAATTAGAATTTTGTGAATATGAGCTGCTTCTATTTAAAACTTTTTTTGTACTAAATTAACCACTTTGAGTTTTTAATTAAAGTTGTAAAGCTCATTAAGACAATTCTAATAGTTATTGAATCATTAAAATTGACTTGATAGATTATAAGATATTTTTAAAAAATGTTTCATTGACTATATAAACTTCTCTTTCAACAATAATATTGTTAAAAGAGAAGTTTATATAGTAGCCAAAATATTTTCAAAGATATCTCATAATCTACTAAGTTGATTTTGATGATTCAGCTACCATTAGATTTATATAAATGAGCTCTACAACTTCAATTAGAAGCTCAAAGATAGTTAACTTAATATGAAAAAAAGTTTTAGATAGAAGCAGCTCATATTCACAAAACTCTAATTTCTATATATAAACTGTCACATTACACTATAACCTCTCTCTGGTTGACTGACAAATCACCAATTAATTAAATTTGTATATTTCTAGCTTATTAGTAAGTTAATTTTTTTATCTTATAATTTAAATATAAATTTTACAAAAATACAATTCTTATATTTTAATTTTTTAATTAAAAAAATTCAATTAAATATATTAATTTTTTAATACAATAGATCAGAAATATTTTTATAGTAAAATTCAGGGCAAATTTGCCTTGAATTTCAAACAGTTTAAAGGATAAAATTCTAAACAAATATTCATGTTGATAAAGTAATATTACTATATATACTTGATATAAACTAATATTTGAAGTTAAAAGGCGTTAACAAGAGCATACTAATTTTTTAAATTTAAGTTTTTTTTTGAATGCTAACTTAATATTTTATATTATAATCATTCAGAATTTTTAAAATACTGTAGAATTAAATAAAAAATCTTACTTAAACTGATCAAAATAAACCGAATTTTTTTTGCAAAAGGCCCTAAAATTATCGCCTGACCCTAATATATTGATCAACAATCACATTTTGATCAACATATCACAAATTTTTTTGATTAAATTGATTGGTTGATAATACGTTTTGATCATCAAACTAATTTTGGTACAGAGGCTGCGCTTCAGACAACAATACATTAAAGACATGGTATTTTGTTTGATACTTGGCACATTTCCAGTCAAAACGAATATTTTCATAGTTGAAATCGATAATTTAGAGTTCGTTTCACAACTTCAAATAAAATTATGGTCTCAAAATCCAGACACTTTAGCGAACGTTGATTCGATTCAACTCCAATTATGGAGGGTTAACATCCCTATTAATGATGAAAATAAACTGAAAATATTAGAAACATCTTACACAAACATTGACGTTGAAGAAAAACTAGATGGATTGAAAATGCTCCCAACAGATCCTATTTCTAATTACTTTAATGAACAATTCCCCATAGAGAACACTTGCATCAATATCATTGTACAAACAGAAGGTAAATTATCTCATTAAATAAATCGAATATCATCTATAGCTTTACATTATAATTTATTGTCATTTATATAAAAGCAGTTAATTGGGATAACAAATCAATTTTTACTTGGATACAATATGTGAGACGTTCAAGTGAGATTGCCAAACCTAAGGTTTTTCGATTTTCATATTTTATGCTCTTTTTACTCTTCCTGATTACACACTAATTTATAGATCATATCAGTTTGTGGAGTCGTATGGTGCTAAATTCCCTTTACAAGGTCGAGACGAAACTATTGAAATTTTATTTAGAGGAACTATGGATAAGAATGGAATTTGTCAAAGGTTTCAACAACGTAAAACGACAAACAGATATAATCACCCTATTCCCATTTTGGCTAATGGCCCAGGCGCAGGAAAGAGTCGATTCCTTCAAGAATTGCCAACCTTATTATGTGACCATGTCGAGAAATATACAGATGATAATTTCCTTATAAATTCAATTAAAAACCGGATGCTCTCTATCAACATCACCTTTGGAGATGGTACCATTGCGTCAGATGAAGATGTACGCATTGGTCAAACATCAGTTGCATTACGAATGCTTTATGAACACTTCATTGCTGGAGGGTCATATAATTAGAATCAATTTTTAAGAAGGTGTGGTAAATCTCAACTCAAAATTATCGATGCACTCGAGATTATTCTTATGGATGTTGACGTTAATAAGAATGACGATGATAAAACCAATTTCATTGTTATTGGGATTGATGAATTAAACCACTTACACAACCGGTATGGAAAAGAATTGGATCCACAACAAAATCCTGTTCTTGCAATTGTACAAGCAGCTGGAAGATTAAATTGCAGTTGTCAAAATGTATTTTACTTACCTATCTTAGCCGGAACTATTCAAGGCCCTCTGGAAGAAATGTTTATAGGATCTACATATCTTTACTTACACTTACCATTACGTCTTCTTCATGATGAAGAAGTATGGAATATTAGTGAAAACATAGCAAACACTGAAAATCTGGCTAAATATATCAATAAAAGTACTTTCCGTCGATGTATTAGTGATCTTGGTGGCCAAGTTCGGGCTCTAGAAATATTCTATAATATACTGTCGAGGCAAGTGAAATGCCAAACTAATTACATAGATTATGTGTACATAATGTCAGCTGTTAAGAACTCGCTAAAGGAAAAATACCCATTTGTGCAATATGCAAATGCCATAACACCAGCCATTGTACACGCAATTCTTAACATTCCTGTGGAAAAACATGACAAAGCCGACAACAATTGACAGTTAAATTACATTGATCTTTCATCACGTGGTGTTTTAAATTTGGAACCAACACATACCGGCTTTTATGTTCGTATGCCATATATGTGGGTGTGGATATTAACATCATTCAATAAAATATCGGGTAACTTTTGGGATGTTATGATTGATCAAAATCCGCATGTTTACTGGCAAGAGTTTGAAGATTTTAACATGCGATTCTTGACTTTACGCCTTCGACCTCTTTCTTTCTTAAATAAACCAATAACAATATAAGAGCTCTTTAGAGGTGCGTTTAGTATTGGATATGGATATGATTCAGAATATGCATTTCAGCTCCAAGTGTAGACTCCATTAAATATCAAATACTTGACTTTCGATTCCCTAACACGGTGCAGAATTTACATTTGTCACCTGGCATAGTGTATAAAAATGGTGCTGGTGCTCCATGGAATCTGTTTTTTTTCTTAGATAATTACCTTTTTGTCATCCAAATCAAATATTCGGATGTCATGTCACAAAAATCTCAAGTATTTGATGAGAGGATGTTAAATTTAGAGTATGATAAAGTTAAGAATGCATTCAATACATTGCAAAATTCATTTGAAGGAGAATTCCCCATTAAGAACTGGGTCCTTTTAATATGTACAAATGGACAAAAGACATCGAATTCTTTGAATTCATTACCAAACAACTGTTTTGTTGTAGATTGTGAAAATTTTAAGGATTTTTACGGGTATACATTTTCCAGTCGTGCTGAATTTTCTGCAGGTATGGGTCATAACTTATGTTTTAAGATATTCTTTTTATATTATTATGTAACCTTTTACGTTTGTTTACATAGCTAATGACACAATTGATGTTAACACTGCTGAGGATTATGAATTAAAAACAATTAAAGGAATAGGGGAGAAAACTGCACAAGATATATGTAATAAAAGACCGTTTTATGATGAAAATGATTTATATAGTAAGGTAGACATAAAACCCGAATCAAGAAAGAAGATTAAAGTTATAAGAAAAGTATAGTTCGAAGCAATTAATAATAAGAATTTGATTGCATTACTGTATAAGTGAGATATCTAAAAATGCTAAATTGTAGCAAAGTAACTAAATTGTAACGAAGTACAGAGAGACCTCTCTAAATGCACCCCCTCGGGGTATAGTGAAAAATTCTAAAAAGAAAAATATATAGTGGAGTTATAAGCTGGGACTAGGTTATACCGTGCATTTAAAGAGATTTTATACATAGGGTGCATTTATAGAGGGTGCACTTAGAGAGGTCTCTCTGTAAGGTTTTATTTTACTTTAAGAGATTTGAGAAATACAATATTTTGCTGAAAACTTATATACGATAAAGTCTTTCTAAATGAAAATTTGCAAATAATCTTTATTAATTGTGTGCACCATAATGACTAGATGGTATTTTATTTTTCTGTTTTCAATTTTATTAACGTTGCTACCAAAAAGTAAATTTGCAAACCATTTACTTATATATATTTATAAGAAATAATTTCCCAATATACAAAATCATGTTTTAAAGTGAGCATATATACAATACACTGTTTTGACTTTGATTAGCTAAATTTGAAATAACTTTAATAGAAATTATATTTCCTTTTGATTAATGTTAGGTTTTTTTATTTACAAACATTAATTGTGTTAGAAAATTGAAAGAGATTACATTCTTTATTGCTTGCTTATTTCCAACCACACCTTTCCCAAAAGATGGAGAGATTTGGCGAGGTGATGTTTTACATTCGAATTATTATAGGTTTTATCCATTAGAATTTGATCACAGTATTCACAAGCGATAGAAGATATTTCTGACCGGGAGATTTGCCAAATTACTTTGCTGATCTACATTTTTTTTTTAAAAAAAAAAACATATAAATATATATATGTTAAGTCATGTTTTGAGTTTTAGCAGAAAAGAATATATAGGCTTTTACCTCATCCTGGTTCATTTTATTTCTAGTTTTAACCACAAAGAATCCAGAGACCATGCCCATCATAAACATAAAATTGTTAAAAAGACTAGAATATTTAATGCTTGGCACTTTTAGATAAATTTCTCCTAAATATGGTTGAGCCTTGGTCATGTAAATTTCACCTAAAAAGGATAGTAACATTTTTCCATTAGGTTCTACAGAAAGTCTCAGCGCATCTTGACGAAGACTTTCCATAAATGATTATAATCAAATTAATCGATTAGTATCGATGAATTTTAATCGATTACAATCAATAGAGGGGTTACTAATTGA